AAAGATAAGAAATTCAAAAAAAATGAATAAATAAAAATAAAATAAAAATGTGTGGTGGAGAAGGAGGTGGTGTACATTTGGGGTACATCTTGGCATTGCTCAAAAAAATACTCCATACTTCTTAATAAGTGCCATGCATCACTATCATGCTCATTTTTAATTCATTGTCACATCAGAAGTCTTTCTCATTTCTTCCTCATCCAGGGCCAGGGTAGATCCAATCCTTAATTTTTTATTAATTTTTAATTTTACATATTACTCCATACGGAGTACTTTATAACGTTTTATATAATTTTTTAAATTAAACGAAAACCAAATTTGAAATAATCAAAATAAAAATTGAAATTAAAAACCAAAATAAAGAACCAAAATGTAGGACTACAATTAAAAGAAGACTGAATGTTAGAATATAAGACACATTTCTTGGGCCACAACCACAAGCTTGAGCTTTTGGTTGAATTGGTTTCTTGACATGGTATCAGAGCGTCGTTGACTAAGAGGTCATGGGTTTGAAACTCAGCGCCACCCAGTTTAAAAAAAATTAAGGTTTCACGTGCAAGGCTCGAAAAAGACTATGCCTGCACGTGAGGGGGCGTGTTAGAATATAAGAAACATTTCTTGGGCTACAACCACAAGCTTGAGCTTTTTGTTGAATTGGTTCCTTGACATTGAAGAAAGAAATGAATGAAAAGAAGAAAAGGAGGAGAAGAAGAAGATCGTCGAGGAGGGGGAGGAGAAGAAGAAGAAGAGGATAGAAACGACAGAGAAGAAGAAAAGGAGAAGAGGAGCTGAGAGAAAAGGAGAATTGAGAATTAAAAAAATCAGATCGTGGAGGTCGGCATGCAGACTCCATCCACACTGTGTTCCAATCGGGGAGACAGTGTTTCCGGTCGGGACTCGATGTCACGTAATCCATCTCGATGCCACACCACACAGTTTTATACTCCCTCCGTAATTCATTTCTAAACATATACTCCGTATAATTTTGAAACATTATATTTTACACCGTATAATATCTATGTATGTGTGTGTGTCTATATATATATATATATATATATATATATATATATATATATATATATATGATGGTGTAAATTACTTGACCGGTCAAACTACACTAGACCGGGTCTAGAATAGTCTGCTTGATTTGGTAAAGTAAAGAAAGTAAAAACACTCAGATTGACCGGTAGGACTTTAGGTGGAACACCTGTAGCCCAAGTTATATTATAACAGAGAATGCACGGCCACTTTTACAAGGGAGTTTATAGAGCATGAATTCGGATCCCTCTTTCTGAGGTTTACAGCAATATATATACTAGGCTAAGGGGGACAAGACCACGTGCGCCCACGTGGTGGCACGCTGCTGGGGTGGTGCGAGGTGACTGGTTTCGTCCCTGAGCTGCCTTGTCATCTTGTGAGGGGGGATTGTGCCCTTGTCGCGTTCTGGCTTGGAAACATTCCTTCAGCATCTCCTTGATTCTCCAGCAATGCCATCTACTACAGTCCAAGTTCTTTTGAATTCTTCCTGCCGACGCTCTCCAATCTTCGGAAACTGGACCGGGTGATCCTTGAGGGTTGGTTTGGTTAACTTCGAAGGATGAATTTAGACGATGGAATAGTTTGACCGGTACACTTATTCGAAGTATACCGGTCAACTTTCCGGCCAATCAGTCATCCTATTATTGACGATCCATGAGTGAATTACTGACCGGTCAACTATTTGGTCTCATCCTTTGACCGGTCATGGGTGAAATACACCCATATATATATATATATACACACACACACACACACACACACATACATATTACACATAACCTATCACTTAAGATATTAATAATTAAAATGTTAAATGGAGAGAACCAACTTGAGCGGAGGCTAGGGGATAGTACATAATGCTAGGGGTACACCAAATGTACACCACCCCCTCCATTGCCACATATTTTGGCATGTAAAATAAAAAATAAATAAATAAATAAAAATGAATGGTAATAAAGAAGGTGGTGTACATTTGGGGTACACTTTTGGTGTACCCCTAGCATCCCTCTTTTTGGAACAAAAATGCTAGGGGTACACCAAAAGTGTACCCCAAATGTACATCACCCCCTCCATTGCCACATATTTTGGCATGTAAAATAAAAAATAAATAAATAAATAAAAATGAATGGTAATAAAGATGGTGGTGTATATTTGGGGTACACTTTTGGTGTACTCCTAGCATCCCTATTTTTGGAAAGATAAAACTATTTAGTTCATACTTATGAGGAGAAAAAAATGAATATTGTGAAACATTTACACCCTCTGTCCCAAAATGTAAGCAAGAGTTATCATTTCTGCTTTTCAATAACTTTTATTTCTTTACTCGTTTTGATTGACCATTTGATAAAATAAAATATTCTTGTTACATCTTGTTTTGTAGATATACATTTGTATTTATTATTTTGTGTGTTGTACGGGCTTGGCCCAAAAGCTCTAGATGTAGCCCTTGTATCCTGTGTTTATATTCGTTGTGAATACTGAATAAAGGCAACCAAGTTTTACACAACTTTTACATGGTATCGGAACCGTTGCCCCGGGAATCTCGGAAACCCTAGGTGCGTCTTCATCAACGGTGCCGCCACTGTTCAAGCCGCCTCACGTTGGCTCCTACACACTGACCCACGTCGGTGTTCTTCCTTCGCTCACCGCCTCACGTCGGACGAGCATCACTTTCGGGCCTCCCTCTCCCGCTGCCGATCACTCATCTTCTTCTCGTGCATCATGTCGGCCAAGACCACCAAGAAGGTAAGGTTGATCCACGATCACACATGCGGCTGCTGTTGCGAAGCTGCCGCCCTCATCCGGGCTCGAGAAGAACAAGAGAAAACTCACCATTTTTTACTAGGTCGTGACGATGAACACTTTGGACACATCCAGCCCCAAATAACGCTGTCGAACATGTCCCCGACATTCATCGAGCTTAAACTTTTGGATTTTAAGTACATCGATAAATCTCATCAACTTGCACCTCACAGTCGATCCGCCAATTGATCTATATTTAAAAGGGGCAATAGATATGGAAAAACTTTGTTGAGGTCAATACAATTCAGGCATATTCTATATGTGTATGTAGATCCCTAAGGTGTGTTGGGACCACGCATGCTCTCTCCCCAATCCCATATTAGGCCTCCAATTGGCATGCATGGATCAGATTTCTGAGTAGGGTTACGTTGTATATAAGTCAAATAATTTTGATTCGTTTGTGATTTATATTTGTATTCGAAAAAATCAAATGTGAACCCTAATACGAATAGTAATTGTTATTCGTGATGTTAACGAATACGAATATATCTATGCTTAAATCAGTCCATAAATGAATATATTCGAAAAGATGTGTTAAAAATTATATGTTTAAAACTTATAAATTTAAAAAAATTATAAATTGAAAAAATAGTTTAATATGAGTCACATTTTTTGAAAGTTAAATGTTTTTAAGCTAATATTTTAAATTTTAAACAAATCAGATATTTTTAAACGAACCAAAGTTTTAAACGAGTTGAATATCATATATACATTATAATTAAGGAATCAAATTCAAATCGCTGAAAATATTTGAAAGGAATAGAAATCCAAATATGAATACCGTCTAAAACTAGCAAATACCAATAATATTCCTAAATATTCAAAGAAAAATTATCTTAAATAATCCTACCTTTTCACATTTTTCAATTAATAATAATTCCACTTTTTACTGTCCAGAAATAAACACACTTTTCCACATGGGTCCAAGTTTTAGACTGATGTTAAAAAGCTAACGACACTTAACGGAATCTTTGGAAAATGCCTATTTTTTGCAAATAAATGAAAGATGAGATTTTTTTCAAGAAAATTAAGTTTTTAATTATTTTAATTTAATTTTAAAATCTATATTTTTAAAAATATAGCACTAAACTCTTGTTAAGGATTTGTCTCAATTTTTTTAAAAAAATATAACGATTTACAAATTTAGAACTTCCTAGATAGGAGTAAAAAATTATGAAAATACCAAAATAGGAGTCTTAAGTCTTTTAACACCAAAATTTGAATTCGCACTGACATTGGTACACTGCCACACTTATCACATTGTTACATTGTAACTGCCACACTATCACTGCCACACTGCCATCCGTCGTCACTGGCGATCAGTGCTGCCATGACGGTTGATTGATTACATTGCTATATTACATTGTCACCACTTTTGCATCATACTTCCCACACGTACTCTTGCACCACACTGCCATTATACTCCTATTTTGGTCTTAAAAGATTTAAGTCTCATATTTTGGTATTTTCATACTTTTTTGTTCTTATTTAGGGAGATTTCTTGAAATATAATATTGAGTTATTGAAAAATAGTTCAGAGTATCGCTCAAGAAAGAAATTGCAATACAAAAAAATTATAGTGAGTTATAAATTAATTAGTGTCGTTTTGGAGAAAAAATTGTGTCATTTTCACAACTTTTGAATTATTATTTAGAGAAAAAATTTGTACTGAATTATTGGAAAAAATCAAAAGTTGGATCGTTCCCTTTTAGAAAAAAATACGGGTAGTAGAAGATTATCAATAAACATTTCGAAATGTTGTTCATGAAAAATTGCAATACAACAAAAAAAAGGGAACGATCCAAAAGTAAATCTTCCATTTCAGAGAAAAAGTTAGTGTTATTTTCAGAACTATTGTAATGTTGTTTTTTGCAAAAAAAAAAAAAATTATACAGAATCATCGAAAAGTATTGTTAAACCCAATACCCGACATACATCAATCTTTTATTTTATTTTTCTAATGAAAGGAACATACATCAATCTTAAGAAGAGCACAAATAGAAAGAAAATAAATTGGCGCTTAGCAAGTCGTAATTATTCATATAAGAGCATAAGCATTGAAGCAATGGTGAAAAGATCGTTGAATTGATCAAAACAAAGGTCGAACAGAGACAAATATGCTCATAGGCATTCAGTAATGAACGAATAAAATTGGCAAACTGGCTTTTTATTGTTTCTTAAAAAAAAAAAAAGAATTAGTGGAACAAGAAATGAAGTGTTTGGTAATTACACGTAAAAAAGGAAAAGAGGGTTCCTCCTTTCTTCACTTGGCAGGCTTAACTCTGGGGAATTTCTCATATTTCCATGAAGTGGGTGCCTGTAGAAGCCATTGTTCGGGGAATGTATAGTACGTCCCTCTCTCTTTCCTCATTGGGAATGGGTTTTTGGCACTATACAATACGTTTTGCAGATTGGCATGTCTTTGTACACTGGATTGAATCAACCAATCAATCAAATACCCGCCCAAAACTGTGCGCTTTTCACAACTCTACTCAGGTCTCGCGCTGGGAGATCATGTTCCTCCTCTCATCAGATCGATGACGAAACAATTTGGCTATCTTTCGCCTTTCGCAGTCCTGCAGTGAAAATAACATTATATATATAACTCCGTATGTAACACGTCATTTTGTGTTGCTGCCAGACAATTGTGGGAATATGATGCACAAGCTAGAACCATATGAATAATCTGAAGATCATAATCATGAAATTGTAAAATAACAAACCCTGTAATAATCCCACATAAATAGGGCCTGGGGAGGATGTGTACGCAGATCTTACCCCGCTCGAAAATAGCGAGGTTGTGACGCAATCAAAGTAAACAAAGAAAGAAGACACAAAGCACAACCAAAGCAATGGTATGACTGTTAGAGATAATCAAAATATAACTACTCCATATATTTTAAAATTTAATTGATGATTTTTCAAAAAAATAATAATTGATGATTTAATTAGATTCAACACACATACACACCTTGGTTGGATACTTGTAAAATATTTTAAAATTTAATTGATGATTTAATTAAAACATTAACACAAAACTTGTTGGGGATACTTTTCTTGTAAAAAAATTAAAATCTGAAAACGAACATTTTTTTCAAACAAATTGAGCTATCCCCACAACTAAAATACAAATCAACATTCCTAGTGTGGACCGCGAACATTTTTCTTGAAGATGAGACTAGTTGTATTTTATGCTATAAGGAAGATTGAAAAATGGCTTGAAGGTTACATAAAGGATAAGAACAGGGAAATCACTTGGACTGAAAAATTTGTGACTGACGTATATATACCAGAGGTTTAAAAACTTCAAATGCATTTTACTGGAAGGAGAATTTATGCAACTGAGACAAGGAGGTACTATGGGGGACCACACAAAAGCGTTCGAAGAAATGAGAGTACGGATGTTCTTAGAGAATCCATCCTTGTGTGACGATACCTTGTGAGAAACTACATTAGCACTCTCAAACCAGGGCTGAAACATTTGGAGTCTAGCCAATCCTGTGACATTAATGGAAGGATACAGGTGTGCCAAGCTCTATAAGGCAGCTGCTAGTTTCAGATGGGACTGGAACAATTTGTAGAACAGCAGGACCACCTCCAAATCAAATGTGAGCAACAAAGGGAAAATGGTCGTTGGCTCACTTGATTCAACATTTATGAGTCCCAAAATGAAGCCCGTGAGTGCAGAAAAGAGCAAGCTGAGACAATTGAAACTATGCTTTACTTGCAAGGAATCATGGAAACCTGGCCATGTCTGCACAGGGAAAGATGTTGTTAACTACATTGTTGCTTCTAATGGACAGTGTCGAAGATAGCCAAGAAGTTTAAAAAAAACTTTGGAAACTCGTCATGGGGAAGTATCATTGATTGTCAAGCTAGGAGGATTGGTACGGCACCCTCAAGGTCCTTGGAAGTTGGAACTCTAGGAAGAAGGACCATCACTATCCTTTTTTACAGTGGCAGCTCTCATTCATTTGTTGACCCCACAATAATCTAAAAGGGAATGTCTCAGGAAGCTCAACCTAAGACTCTTTCTGTCAGTGGCCAATGGACAAAAGGTCACAGTAAAGGGTTTATATAGCCAATCTAACTTGGTAGAGGTGGGTGAGGATAAGTTTCAGCCCAGGTTCCATACGCTAAAGTTAGGGTGGTGTCACTTATTTCTAGGAATTGAGTAGATTGATGAACACTCTCATCTAAATATGGAAACTAGACCCATGTGGAGTTCATTACTAAAAGAGAGGAGGATCAAGCTAATGGGGTGCGATAAAGAAACCAAATGGAGAGAGGCTTCATTGGAGGGAATTATGCAGTGCAGAAAAACAAGGCTACCTTTGTCATTCAAACTTGCTCTAAATCTCTAATACTCTCGGGGATAGAGCAGAAGACCTAGACCCTAACACTATACAAGTGTTAGATAAATTTAGTTATATTTTTGCTGAGCCACAAGGCCTTCCACCCTCCAGGGAACTGGACAATGTTATACATTTACAGCAGCCTTCTCAGTCAGTGAATCTGAGAGGTTATAGAGTCTCCCATGAACAGAGAGATGTCATTAAACAACTTGTCTCTGAAATGCTAGATTAGGGGATCATAAGCAGCAGTTCTTCCCCTTTTGCTTCACCTGCCCTAATAGTCCCAAAGAAGGATGAGTCTTGGAGGTTTTGTGTGGACTACAGAGCATTGAATGCCATCACCATTAAGAATAAATATCCCATTCCAGTAGTAGAAGAGTCGTTTGCAGAAAAAAGTGCAGCTCATTATTTCTCAAAACTGGACTTATGGACAGGATACCACAAGATCGGAATGAAGAATAATTCAAAACTCCTTCAGAACTCACCATGGATTGTTTGAATTTAAGGTAATGATATTTGGGCTTACCAAAGCTCCAGCCACTTTCCAGGGATTATTGAACTCCATTTTTCAGGAACATTTGAGGAAGTTTAGTTTGGTCTTCTTTGATGACATTTTGGTTTACAGTCCTTCACTCGAAGAACATGGACATCATCTAGCTCTCACTTTGCATATATATATATATATATATATATATATATATGCATGTATATACCTATATATATATATATATATATATGCATACATGTGTGTGTGTGTGTGTATAGGTTGCCTAGGCGATATGAAGGTACACTGGCACCTCGCCTCGCCTTGGCGCCTTACAAACTATGGTAAATAGTTGCACCTGAAGCATCACAGAGCATATACGATTCACTTCGTGCTTCTGATGTAAAATTACTTTCAAAATTCTCTTGTTCATTTTCTTATTGATTATATTTAGAAAATAGATTGACTCTTTAAAAAGAAAGTATACTAATAGTCGAAGAAAGAGGGGTGCACCCTTCACTAGACCTCGCTAACCGATTCAAAAGCATTCTTGGCCATTTGGAAAAAATGTGCTAGCATCATGCAATACTTTTTAGTAATGTAGATAAAAAGGCTTCACTAAAGCAAACCAAACAAGAGTGCAGGCACTGAAAGCAGTGAGAAGTAGTGAATAGGTAAAAGCATGAAAGTAAACAAGAAAAGTTGGTAAGAAGGTAACCAAGCAAGAAAACAAAGTGTTAGCTAATGCCTACCTAATGCATGCCTAAACTACATGGCCAAGAAACCCCCTACCCCCAACAACACTTTCTCACAAAACCCTACAAGGAATTTACAACCCTAATCTAGTTATGTATATGCAAACAATCTACAACCCTTCTGATCCATTATCAAGGTCTACCTATTTTTCAAACAATTATCAAGGTATACCTGTTCAAAAGTCTGCTTACCTTGAACATGTGAAGATAGAAAGGTTTCTCTGGGTTAAGCTTTCTCAGCTTGTAGTATGTGTATGCAAAACTGAGTTGATCACGAGGTGTAAAGCGATCAACCTCATTAAACCAAAGGCAAGAAAATAAGTTGGACATTGGTGTATGAGCACGTATAATAAAAGAACCTTCAGGTACATCTGTCAACAACACAAAATAGTGTTAATTAATAATGAAGCTGCAAGCCATGTTCCCTAATCGCAATAGGAAAATACATACTGCTTGGAAGAAGTCGGTTAGGATCTGAAATGTCAAATTTTTTAAGTCCATCAGCCTTGTAAGCCTCAAATTGTTCGTCTATAATACTATGATTGTACTTGTTAAGTTTCTTGTTTTGAGCAACTTCTTCCCAGACACAGTGCCGATCATAGTGATTGGAAATAGCGTATTCATGCCCCTTCCGCCAAAGAAAATATTCCAAAATCAGAAGAGGGTCAAGTTGTAATCTTAGCTTGCTATCTAACCAAATTGAATACCTGAGAGCATTCAAAATGGAAGCATTAAGATGAACAAAGAACAAAAGAGGAGTATAAATCACTGATATCAAAATTCATTTATATAGCAGGTTCTTGAGAAAATAAACACCACAAAATGAAGAGGAAACAAAAAATCTCTACTCTACTCGAGTTACCAGAAGCATATATCCAGATGGAAGCAGATTGGAACAAGTGCAGATAACTTGTATAAAGTAAATTGTTGTGAAAAAAGAAGACAAAAAAACCTGCGCAAGGTATCTCAAATATAAATTCCTAACACTTGGTCTGATAATTTTTGGATGTTTTAGATCATAAGCACAGTCCACATTTTATTAACCACAATCACAACTTATAGGTAGGAAGGCATGCAATTCCTTAGTCCAAGAAACTAGGCAAAGTGAAAAATCCAGATCCACCAAGATGAAGTATGAGATAGCCAGCAGGGGATGCGACTCATGATTCTTATTATCCAAGTACCAAAGTTTATGATCTCTTACTTTAATCTCAGCCAATGATATATAGGAATCCAAATTTATCAAATCGTGCACATGTCAAAGCAATTCACATTATTAGTATTGACACCAAAGCGAGCAGCACAGAGAAATAAAACCAAGTAAAAATGTTACAATCAAGGCATGACAAATCCAAAAAATCACGTTATTATCTATACAATTGTGTGCACAATAAAATCCACTGCTTGCACAATAAAATCCACTGCTTAATGAACATTAGCTAGGGAATATTTTGTGTTAGAAATAGTGGCATTAAAAGATGTCTACAGTCTACACAACTTTCTTGAAACAACAAGTCTATGAGTGTAAGAATTTCCTTACCTGGCTGAAGTAAAAAGTCTATGCGGTAATAGTTTTGGTATCTTTCCTACTCTCCGCATATCAGTGTAAGGCAAATTTTTCACTACCACAATTTTCCATAAACCAATAAAGCCCATGGTATCCAGCATTTGTCCTTCAGCTGAGAAGGCTTGTAAAGTAGCTTCATCAACAAACATAACAAAGCAAACATTTTTCCTGGAAGTACGAGAGATCTGGATGGAAAGAATAATAATAGAATTATGAAAAAGACTTATTTATGTGCTCTTCGAAACATAAATCGCAGCCAGAAAGAGAAGGGGAAATAATAATAATCACAACAAAGGTTGACTTTAATTCCTCTACCTCACAATACCATCAGCTGATACAGATTGAAAAAGGAAAGGACAGCTTTGAGTCCATAGTTGTTACGGAGGCTAGGCGAGGCTGGGCGCTAGAGTAGCTTCCAATCGCCTAGGCGATTAGGCGCCCGCCTAGGCGACCGCTGGGCGAGTGGGCTATGGCGACCTTAATAATTTTATTGATACTGATGTAAAAGCATATACAATGAAATAATTAATTTTATAGGTATGAAATACATTACTTAGTATATACTTCGTAGAAAACAAGAATAGATAACATATTACTTTAAAAAAAATATAAAGTAGAATTCCTTAAAAAAATCCATAGAACACATATTCCGTATGTTTCACTCACAAAAAAATAAAAAATGAAAAAATGAAACACTTTACTGGGAAGAAGAGCCGCCTAGTCTGTCGCTGGTCAAAACCTAAGGGATTTCCATCAAAACTGAAGGGTCGCGTAGAACCGGACAATTCACGATCGGTCGATCGCTGGTCAAAACCTAAGGGATCTCCGTCGATCGCGATCCAATAGATATTACGACCTCACAATCTAAATCGCAGATCCGCACAATTCCTATGGATTTCCGATATTCCTTGTGATTCAGATCTCAAATCGACACCAAATAGATGCCAAACAGACGCCAAACTGAAGCCTCAGTCGCCCAGGGAAGAAAAGGCTAGGCAACCAATTGGGCATCCACAATACCTCGCCCAGACGCCTAAGCGTCGCCTAGGCGACGCCTTGATTACTATGTTTGAGTCTTTTAGTTGATTATTAGCAACACTGCAGATGAATAGCTGATACATCTTAAATGCAACGAATTTAAAAAATATTATGCTAGGTCACACACAGAAATTACTGAGAGCATAAAGTAGAACGGGCAATACCATTTTGCCAGCAGGCATTCTTAACCGGTCTGAATTTCCAAATATACACGATATGACAGCAATGTGGCAACTGCTGATGTATTTTGCATCATCTTCAGCCAAGTCAAAGCCTGTAGATGCTGCTCCTACGGGGCCTTGGACAAAACCACAGTTTATCTTATGATTGCGTGCAAGAAAAGATTTTTCCCTTTCTTCCATACTCTGATGTCCAGCAAATCTTGGTTCCCATTTTTCATCTTCAACAGACTTTTCCTCTCGTTCCGTGTATTGTAAAGAAAATCTTGCAAACTTTCGACTTTGTAAAGGCTCTACAAGCAGTGCAGATGAATTTAACAGTTTCATCTCGCAAGAATCTGTAAAATGCACAACATTTGGTTGAAATTTCTATAAACATTATATGATGCCTTCACCAACTCATAGAGGATGAGGTGTGTTGGGTGTTGTATGCCTTTAATTTATTATATGCTAGTAGGCTAATCACTAATTCAAAACCATAAAGGATTGAAGGGAAAAAGGCCTCTATGTAAAAGAGTCAATTTTTGACAATGTTTTAGCTTTGGGCATATAATGTACTAAATCAAAATGGCACATTTAACGTCCCTTGCTTTCTATGAAGTTTTGGGAAGTTAATGCATCAACACATCAAAGATCTAACAGAAACAACCTCTGGGGTGAAAGAAGAGTGAACAAGCTAAACCGATGCAACTGTGAATCTTATATATAGCTTTATAATTTGATACTCCCCAATGACAAGTACTGAAACATTTAAACCAGATAGCAAGTGGTGCTTTCAAATGGCAGAAGGATAAGAGCCTGCCTCTGGAGGAGAGTAAAGGCTAGAAAATGGAAATGGTTGCTTGTTGTCTCTAAGCTTAGAATTTGGGAGTAAAAGGAAGAGCCTATACACGAAGGGGCTCGCATCTGACTAACAAACCTAGATAGTCTGTGTGTGCATTATATGCATACATGCATGCATATATACTCCCTCTGTCCGTTAATAAAGTTGACAAAACGGTTATGCTTGACACGTGTTATTTTGAATTCACTTTATTTAATATTGGTGTGCAATTAAAAAAGACTGCATCAAATGTTCTACAGAACAAGAGGTGACATGACTATTTTATTTTAACTATTAACGGAAATAGATAATGAAAGAGGATATAGTTTGACCGTGTGAATAGTGGAAGTGAAGTTTGTGCATGTAGCCGGGTACACACTCATAAAAAACAATTAAACATAATTAAAGAACTAGGAGATAGTTGGAGACAGATAGGACCTTGAAAAGAAGAAGCCGAAGAAATTTCACTCTCTTTGGGGGATACACTTCTTCCACAATTCACATACAGTCGACTTTTTGAAACTTTTACAAACTCTACCCTTCTACATTCAATACAATTTTAGATACATTGTGCTTGATGTGACACAAATTTGAAAGTAGAGAACAAAATGATGAAAAATTGACACTCATGGACTAGATTTTAGATCATCACCATACTCTACAATTCTACAAACAAACTAGAATTAACTCATGGTATCTAATTATCTATACAGTCAGCACTTACAGCTTCATGCTCCTAACACACTCTTAACCTCCCTTCGCATTCCTTTTGCTTTATCATAACCTTCCTCCAAGACCTTGACACCAAAAAATTGCTTACTAAGGCCATGACCTGTAGCTGGTCCAAGAGGATTCTTGTTCTTGTATTGTAAACTATCATTACATATCAAAATGTTCACACATAACACTTTTGCTTCTAGAGTTGCAACTTCTTTGCAGTTAAGTAAGTATGAGACTTTGCAAGTGTTTATTTCTCGCATTTGGACAAACATAATCCACTAAATTAAAGCAAGTGGTGGATATTGATAAGAAGCTGACCCCAAAAGAAAATACTCCGTGCATCCCATAAAAAGAGTCATGTTTCACTAAGGTACAACTTTTAAACTTTAGTAAGGTACAACTATTTGAGGTCATCAAATAAAACAATGAGCTAATTTTTAAATTTAATCGTTGGTTCAACTAAATTTTTACATATTTAACTTGTTTTTGATATATTTTTATCAAAATCATTATAATAGATATAATGAATATTAGTTTTTTGTTCAATTAGGACTTTTTTTAGACAGAGGTGTATCAAAATGTATAATTCCAGCCACATAGCACAAAAAAAAAAGAAAACGTAAAAGTGAGTGAACATACGTCTCTTTGACCTCTTCCTTGAAGCTGGTTGCTTTTCAGATGCAGTCCTTGCAGACTGTCTGTCATGTATTACATTTGTGGCACCTTTAAGATGCTTATACTTCAAAAAACTATCAACATTAGACAAAGCACCGGAAGCTTTTCCAGCCTCTTTGAAAATTCTATTATTGATCACATCATCATGTTTAGCAAAAGAATGTGTGTGATTCAAGCTAACCCCAGAAGAATAGTCATCTACTTCATGGCCATACTCATCATATCCCTCCGTGTTTGTATCGTCTTGATCAATGACTACCGTCTCACTTGACCTTCCATCCTCTGTAATGTCAGATGAGTGGTTCTTTGTGCTATTTCCCTCATGGGATTTATCATTACTGTTCAAAGAAGCCCGATATTCAGCTTCATACACTTTTAGTTCATCACGCCCAGCTTCATTGTACAAGCCTCCCCTCCTAAGATCCAAATCAATAACAGATTTAGAACTTGAAGATTTCTTATCACTCTTCTTTCCCTTTAGAGCAGATTGGAACATATCTAGGGTTGCATTGCGGTTACGTTCCAAATCCTCCTCACTGTAGTCTTCATCTCTTCTTCTGTCATCCCTGTCCCAATACTGGGAATCTCTACTGTATTTAAATGATCCACGTCCAAATTGAACATTGTGTCCTTGTGTTCGCGTCACATTGGTAAGAAAATCCATGTCATCTTCAATAATATCATCCTGAGGATGCCTTTGATCAAATTCTGCATCAGCAAGTAGAGAAAGAGAAATAGACAATTTATAACGGATATCGTGAATATATGATCCAACACTTTTAAACAGATAAATCAAAATCATGGATTAATCATTACAGGTTACACAACCAAAAAATCATTATAAAAAAGAAAATGACCAATTTGACAGCAAGCCCAAACTTGTGACTTACAAGAGGTCAAAGTCATAGGCAGTACAGAAATATGTGGCATGCACAGTACAACAACAACAACCACAGTAAAATCCAGCAAATTCCGCAAAAAGTTGGATCTGGGGAGGGTGTGTGTCTGCAAACCTTATCCCTACTTAGTAGTAGAGAGGTTGGTTCCAAGAGGTGCCCAGCTCAAACACAGAAGCACACATTGAACACATAAGACCAAAAAGGCTTACTATAATCATCTCTACATGATAAGTTTTACAGAGTAACAAAGTTTTGCCATCGATCTTGGAAATGCATAAATGTGTATAGCCCTCATAAGTTCAGGTATCACGAAGAATACTTTCAACTAAACCAATCATAAATATTTGAAATGCAAAATTATGACAAACGATTTTCTAGAAAAAATACAAAGTATTAAGATTTAAAAAAAGCAGTTGTTTTGTCAGATTCAAGAGTTCATTGAGGCTACGAACAATGAAATTTATGCTTGTACCAAAATAAAGTTTACACTTTCTTACTTTCCTTTACAAAAACGAATGTGTGAAATCAAAACTTCAGTAATACCAACCTATATAATTAACTGAACAGAAGGAAAACAGAAACTCGGTCATTTCATCTCACTAATGTAAGTACCCTAAAACCAAAACAAGCTAAAATCCACTATGCTATGCCAGCCGGTACTGCACTGCCAAAATAACAGCATCTACGAGCTCCCATTTACCTTTATTTTGTGAAGTAATATAGAGAAATGCAAGAACAGAAACGGTAAAAGCGATTGAGAGGATGACGACGAGACAGCCGATCGAGATCTTGGGGCCCTTCAACTTACGGGGATGAACATGCCGCGGCTGCTGCTGCTGCTTGTGGGTGGACGGACGAATCGCAATTTGAAACTGATCCGACTCGACTCCATTCCGAGCAAATCCTCCACCGCCATTGCCGTGCCCTGGTTGTCGATACTGAGCCATTGGCGCATTTTACAGTTCACTATCACTCTGTGCAAACACTACGAAGTATATGTACGTGTATACTCAAATACGTGCGTTTCTCCAGGATTCCGAAAGGCGATTGGGGAGGTTTCGGACGAACGGAGAGATTTCCGAGTTGCCGGAAAGTGGATCAGAATGCTCTCAAGATTTATCGGGCTGTTATGCCAAATCATTCATTCGAACAGAGCATGTCTCAACATTCTGTCATTCTGTACTCCACCAATTGCCTCATAAAATCCCAAGTTTTTAGCCTCTACTCCATCCATTCTTATAAAAATATACTCCCTCCATTATACTCCGTCCATTATTAAAGTTCCCGATTTGACCGGGCACGCACTTTAAGAAAAGTAAAACTTTCTTTAACTTTCCAAGTTTGCCCTTCTTTAAATAAAAATAAAGTAATAAAGTGAATAAAGTAGGAATAGTGATGATTTGATTGATAATGATTAAAGAACTAAAAATATCCCAAAAAGCAAAAAGTTTCAGTACACTCCAAATCACACCAAGTGTACACTAAAGCCAACACAAACACACACAGACACAAAGTGTCTGTGTTGCACAGACATTTTGTGTCTGTGTGTCTGTGTTGGCTTGGTGTACACTTAGGGTACCCCATGTTAGTGTACCCCTAGCATTGCCCAATTTCTAAACTCCCTCCAAAAACAAAAAAATNATTAATGCATGCCCTTTCCTTTTTTAGAAAGCCTCCACACATTTTATTTTTATTCTTTGTTTTCTTCCTCTGGCAGTTTCATTTCTTCCAGCAGCATACTTTGTCCCTCATGTACCCTCTTTTGTTCCTCTCCCTTTAAGATCTTTCTTTTTCTAGGTTATCCCTCCATTTTCCTCTTTCTACCATGTGAGACCACTTTTCTTTTTAGACTTGTTGTTACTGCCATGTCAATCTCAGGAGTGGATCCATCAAGTCCTACACAAACACTACAAAGAGATTCCCAAAACACACACGAGAAAAGGACAAAAAAGCTTACAAACTTAGAAAGGCAGGGAATCATAGACTACTTGTTGCTACATGCTCAAAAAAATTTAATGGGGACAGAAACTACTCAGAGAGGTGCTGTGAATATAATGAAGGTGCTGTTGAGTTCAGAGTAAGCCGAAGACCTGTTTCGAAATTGTGGTCAAAAGCTAAGACACAACTACACGCTGGGCATTGCATTAATCTAAGGAACAATATGGCAGGAAGGGTTGGTAGGAAAAGATTTACAGCAGACTTGGATACAATTGCAGACATCCCACTGCGAAGGAGAACCACAATCAGGTCACTAGCCTCTGCAGCAGGTGTGTGCAAGTCTACCGCTAAGAAGATGAAGGCTTCATTCTTCAAGAATGAACTAACACCTTACAAGTATCTAGTGGTGTTTGGGTGTTTTGCTTATGTATGCATGTGGTTGTATAATGCTTTTGGTTTTTGGTGTTTGGGTTTTTGAATTTTAGGTTTATGTATATAAGGCTTTAGAAGCAGCAACAGCAACCATTCATGCAAATTTATTCCAATATGAATATGGACTAAAGAGCACTAAAGTGCACATGTTTATCATCATTGCAGTTGTACATAGACAGATAAGTGCACAATTTTAAACTCTAGAACCTCATCACATCATGCTCAGGGTTAATGGGAAGTAGTGCACACACAGACACACATTGCAGAGGTGCACACACATGTGTAAGGTACAACATTAGTACACACACACACTCACAATGCACACACACACTACAGTGGTGCACACACATACCTAAGTTACAACAGTGAAAAATGTAACACTCATGAAGTAGAAACCTCATCACAGCATGATCAGGGTAATGGAGACAATTGCACACATATAAGTATGGTATGACAGAAACACAGTGCATACACACATTTAGGAATGGTTGAGCACACCCACAACTTAACACAGAAACCTCATCACAGCATGCTCATGGCTAAAGGAGATTAGTGCACACACACAAACAGCATAGGTGCACAATTTAAGATAAGGAATCAGGAACCTCATTACTGTATGCTCAGAAACACACACAAACACAACCTCATTACTGTATGCTCAGAACACACACAAACACAATGCACACACACATTGAAAACTGGTTGAGCACAGCCAGAACTTAACACAGAAACCTCATCACAGCATGCTCAAGGCTAAAGGAGATTAGTGCAGACACACAAACTACATAGGTGCAGAATTTAAGATAAGAAATCAGCCACCTCATCATTATATGCTCAGGAACACCATCACAGCATTCTCAGAGGTAAGGACAGAGCAGTATATACACAAATACATACTACAGTGGTGCACACACATACGAAGGGTACTAGAGAAGTGCATAATTGAACACCACAAATGAGTAAACTCATCACAGCATGCTCAGAACACTCACACATCTTAAGACAAGTAGAAAATTAGAAAAAGAGAAGCGTACTTGGGTGAATCCCACCTTGGGAACATAAGCTTTAGAAAGCTATCACATGCATGGTTTTGAATACACACGAATCTAGAGCTTGGGACCATCAAAGCATCAGATGCTTCATCCTCATCCTCAGAATCAGGCACCACGGCTGCCACCATCTCACCATCATCGCCAAGAACATTTGGGGGAAGTTGCTCGATCTCCTGTTCGCCATGAACATTTGGGGGAGTATTTTTCTCAGAATCATCTAACTCCTCACTGGCGAACACATTTGGAGTCTCTGAAACTATGGAAACGGAAGAATAATTTTCAGATTCCATACGAATTTAGGTTTAGGAGAGAGCAACAGAGAAACCCTAGATCGATTTCAAGGAGTAAGCGATTGGGAGGAAGAGCAAAGATCCAAGATTTGGATCTGGGAGATGATGAATGAGAGAGACGATGAATAAGATGGGTGGAGAAAACGAAGCCAGTAAGAGATAACGAGGGAGTGGGTGGGGTAAATGTGGGGGTTGAATTAATTAGGGTGGGTAGTGGATAGGGTGGGATGTGAGATGGGTATAAAAGACTTTTTACATTAATTTTCTTTCCTAAAGTAGAAATGAGAACTTTAATTGTGGACATCCAAAAAAAGAAAGTGGGAACTTTAATTATGGACGGAGGGAGTATATAATAAATTAAAATATAAAAATTGTACTAAATTATTGGTTATGAAAAATACTATAAATATTTTTTTATTATAATTTGTCAACATAATTTAAGAGATATTGTTAGTTCAAAAAGTGAACCGGACAATTTAAAAAGAATGGAGTGAGTACATTCTAATAAAGTTATTAGTACTCAAACAAACATATTGTACTCCCCAAATTGCCACATATTATGGAAAAAAATCATGAAACTATGTAGATTATTACTCTTGTTATAAAATGAGAGAAAAACTACTTAGAGATTGTGAAAATAAATATGATATATTTCTGGTTTCTTTTCTCTATTAATTCTTCACTCTTCTTCTTGTTCTTAATCGTGATTTACAGGAATCCTAAGCCTCCTATTTATAATAGAGAGGCTTAGTGGTAGCACTATTACAAATAGTATACATACTATACAAATGGCAACTTGATGGTGATGATAGACAATTTGTTCCTGCAACTTATGATGGAGCATAACCTAATTAATTGATAAATGAACAATTCATATTTTTCTTAACACTCCCCCTTGAATGTTCATTTTTCAATTGATGATAGGTATTCGTGAAATGTGCATAGTTTAGAAACCCATTATAATTTTATGTACTGTCTCGTTAAAAACCTTGTCAGGAAAAATCTAGTGGGATAAAAACCTGATCAAGGAAAAAAGAGTACAGTTCATAAAATTCTCCCCCTTAGCCTAGCATAATTGATGGAGACGACGCATGCCAATCTTGTGTACGAGTTCTTTAAGTTTCTTCGGGGGCAACGCTTTTGTAAATAAATCAACGGGGTTCTCCCTAGACTTAATTTGCTTGATATCAACCTTTCCATCTTTCTCGAGATCATGTGTTGAGAAGAACTTTGGTGATATATGCTTTGTTCGGTCTCCTTTGATGTAACCTCCTTTCACTTGAGCAATGCATGCAGTGTTGTCTTCATATATAAGAGTCGGATGACTAGTAATTGTTTCTATACCACACTCTCTTTGGATATGTTGAATCATTGATCGCAACCATACACGCTCTCTACCTGTTTCGTAGAGAGCTATCAACTCTGCGTGATTTGATGATGTGGCAGTCAAAGTTTTCTTCATCGATCTCCATGATATTGCGGTATCTCCATAAGTAAACACTTATCCTGTTTGAGATTTTGCCTTTTGTGGATCAGACAAATATTCTGCATCAGCCTATCCAACAAGAGTAGCCTTGACACCTTTGCGGTAGAATAAACCAAGGTCGATGGTACCATTGAGATATCACAAAATATGTTTAATGCCATTCCAATGCCTCCTAGCCGGGGTCGAGTTGTGTCTGGCTAACAAGTTCACTGAGAATGCAATATCTGGTCGAGTGTTGTTTGCTAGATACATCAAAGCTCCAATCACACTTAGGTATGGTATTTCTGGACTGAGTAATTCTTCATCAACTTCACGAGGCCGGAACGGATCATCATGTACATTAAGAGAGCAGATAAAACCGCTTCAGAACCTTTTTCGTGTAATTTGACTTGTGGATGAATATTCCATCTTTCAAATGGTCAATTTGAAGACCAACACAAAATTTTGTTCTCCCAAGATCTTTCATCTCAAATTCTTTCATGAGGTATTTTGCAGTTTTTCTATTTCATCAAAAGTTCCAATGATATTTAAATCATCAACATATACTGCAATTATGGCAAAGCCTGATTTAGATCTACGGATGAAAACACATGGGCTAATGGATCATTTTTGTATCCTTCTCTGAGGAGATATGCACTGAGACGATTATACCACATTCTGCCAGATTGTTTTAGTCTATATAGTGACTTTTCCAATTTTATGGAAAACATCTCTCGAGGTTTTGAACTATAAACCTCAGGCAATTTTAGGCCTCCATAAACTTACATACATATGTCAGTATCGAGAGATCCATATGAATATGTTGTCACTACATCCATTAAATGCATTTGAAGTTTTTCAAAGACAGACATGCCTATTAAAAATCTCAACGTAGTTGCATCAACTACTAGGGAATAAATTTCTTCATAATCTATCCCCGGGATTTGAGAAAAACCTTGGGCAACGAGTCGGACTTTACATCTCACAATTTCATT